ATACCAGTCAGAATGGCTAAAATTAACAAGTCAGAAAACGACAGATGTTGGCGAGGATGCAGAGAAAGGGGAACCCTCCTACACTGTTGGTGGGAATGCAAGCTGGTGCAGCCACTCTGGAAAACACTATGGAGGTTCCTCAAAAAGTTGAAAATAGAGCTACCCTATGACCCAGCAATTGCACTACCGGGTATTTACCCCAAAGATACAAATGTAGTGATCTGAAGGGGCATGTGCACCCCAATGTTTATAGCAGCAATGTCCACAATAGCTAAAGTATGGAAAGAGCCCAGATGTCCATCGACAGATGAATGGATAAAGAAGATGTGGTGTATATATACAATGGAATATTACGCAGCCATGAAAAGAATGAAATCTTGCCATTCGCAAAAACGTGGATGGAACTAGAGGGTATGATGCTAAGCGAAGTAAGTCCAGTATAGAAAGACAATTATCATATGATCTCACTGATATGAAGAATTTAAGAAACAAGGCAGAGGATCATATGGGAAGAGAGGAAAAAATGAAACAAGATAAAACTAGAGAGGAAGACAAACCATAAGAGACTCTTAATCTTAGGAAACAAACTGAGGGTTGCTGGAGGCGCTGGGGTGGGGGGTGGGAGGGATGAGGTGGCTGGATTTTGGACATTGGGGTGGGCATGTGCTGTGGTGAACGCTGTGTGTTATGTAAGACTGATGAATCACAGACCTGTACCCTTGAAACAAATAATACATTTTAAGTTAATTAATTGAATTTAAATTAAAAAAAAAAACCAAAACAGCAACAACAAAAAACCATTGTTCCCTCCTAGGCATTCAAATCACATTGAGATTTTGTTTCAGGTCAAGCCACCTCCTTCAGGTTCCTTTTGCCCAGCTGCACCTGGGCCCACTCAGAGGCAAATTAATTAATCAAAATGCTTGTAGGTGAGAGGTTATACTCAATAAGCTATTTATTGAGCACTTGCATGTATCTCATTAGAAGTGAGGAACATGGTCTCTTATGAAACCAAGAATGTACAGTGGAAATCCACCAAGTTGTTCCCTCCCTTCAGCCTCTCTGGCTGTCAGATTGAAGTGCTGACAGCCATTAATGTAGCAGCTGCAGTCATCCCCCCAGAAGGTACTGGGTTTATACATGCCATTGAGCCATGATTAAAGGAACTGTCTCTCTCTCTCTCTCTTTTTTTTTTTTAACTAAACTCTATATCCAATGTGGGGCTTGAGCTCACAATCCTCAGATCAAGAGTCTCATGCTTACTGACTGAGCCAGCCAGTCGCCCCTAAAGGAACTGTCTTGAAAGCCTCAGTAACTATGAACAAATCGCTCATTGCCAGCCCTCATGGTTGCCCACCTGGTTTCCACCTCCCACATCACATTTGGAGTCTTTTAAAAAGAATAATTTTCAGACCTACATACTGACAATGTATCCAAAACAGCAGACAAGATGAACATCTGTATTAAAGATAAACACCTTAAACCTCACTGCCATTGAAAGTCCCCATCACAGAGTGATGTTCAGCACGTACACATTTAGAGCTTCCTTTTCCTCTCCTGATTCAGTTTCATTGTATGTGGCTAATGATAAAACTGTTACCCATTGCCTTGGCAACATACCCATTTGCTAAAAGGAGAAATAAAACCTGAGGTTTATTTTAAATTTTCTATCTGCCAGGTCTCTTACACTAATTTAGGAAATATTTTTTAAAAACAATAGATATTGGGGCACCTGAGTGGCTCAGTCCATTGAGCGGCTGACTTTGGCTCAGGTCATGATCCTTGGGTCCTGACTCAGGCTCTGCACTCAACAGGGAGTTTGCTTCTCCCTCTGCCCCTGCCCTTGCGCTCTCTCTCAAATAAATAAATAGAATCTTTAAAAATAAATAAATAAAATAGATATTAATAGCCCACAATAGTAACAAGAAAATGTTTCATGAGAGAAGACACTCATGAAAATGTATTAAAGTTTATTTTCTTAACTGTGTATCAAAGAGTTTTGATGCCATTAATATTTTAATGAAGAACATTAAAGAACATTTCTGCTCAAAAATTTATACTATAGTGTTCTAGTAACTTCCTGAATTTTGTGCATGTTGGAATTTCCCATACTGGAATTTATAAATAGTAAAGAAAATAAAGGTTACTCTGAGGAAACCCTAACTGTAGATTTGAAAACAATAAAAGATTAGTGCTTTAAGGCTATAATGTATAAATCAGATAAAAATGCAAATTTAAAACTCAAGAATTTTTTGAATCCTTATTGCAGATTTCCAACAGAAGTAACCTAATAATTTGTTATTTACAATCCAGTTAAACATTTCTGTGGTTTTACTTTTTTCCTCTTTGATTAGTTTCTGTTGATAAATGAAAAACAAAAGAAATGGAAGCATTTCAAAACTGAACCAAAATACTAAAAAGTAGCAGATTGCAGAACAGCCAAATACCACAAAAGTATTCACAGCATTTTATTTCCATGTCACAATTTGTTGGCCAAAAGCTGCCTTTAGCATTTAATCTGAGGGCTTGCTCACAATTTAGGAAGTCAGCTGGGCAGCATTCCCAGGAAATGCAAAGAGCATGACAGGACTTGCACTCTGTTGGAGTAGAATCACATCTATTCTGTGTTTTGGGGGCACAATACCAGAGCCTGCATACTTCCTCACCCTGTAGTTAACTATTGCTGTTGCAATAGGATTCTCACGCCCAAAGAGATCCTTTTAATGAGTTTATATGTTTATCTTATTTTCAAAGAAGTTGTTCTACTGAACCACTGAATTACGAAAGTATTCAAAAATTATTTCAGTTTAGTTTGTTTTTTATTTACAGGGAATATTACACAGCTAATTGGTAGAATACCTAGAATATATAATAATATCTAAGTGACTTTTTAAAAATTTTTTTAAATTTTTATTGATTTGACAGAGAGAGACAGCGAGAGAGGGAACACAAGCAGGGGGAGTGGGAGAGGGAGAAGCAGGCTTCCCGCGGAGTAGGGAGCCCGATGTAGGGCTCGATCCCAGGACCCTGGGACCATGACCTGAGCCAAAAGCAGACGCTTAACGACTGAGCCACCCTGGCGCCCCCTTATTGAGTATGCTTATGAACCACTTATTTAATCCTCACAGCAGCACTTTACGGTAGGTACTTTTATTGCTCTCATTTTACAGGTAAGAGAATCAAGGCTCAAAAAATGTAAAGAAACTTGCCTAAGGCCACACTATTCACAAAGGGCAAGGTCAAATCTGAACCCAGAACTGCCACCCTCACGAAGTGTATGAGGCTTTTAACCACCTTCCTCCTGACAAATCACCTACCTATCCTATAACAAGATTTCTACATGCTCAATATTGGTACCTACCTAAGAGGATATTCAATTACAACATCAACTTAAAGAGTAAAAAACCGACTTGAGAGGAAAAAGGTAAACGAAGTTTGGCTCAGTCAAATAAATTGAAAAAAATTCCTCTCCAGTCCGCTGGTTAGGGGTCTAGATAAAGGCAGATCTGACCTTGTCTGTTAGGGCTCTCCAGGCACGAAAGCGAGGATACCTCAGCCTGCCCCATGGGGGCTGGTACTGAAATGTCTTTCAATGCAGCACTAGCAGGGCTGCAAGAAGAGGCCATGAGTAGGGAGAGGGGGAGAGAAAAAAGGGGAGTACAGGAACTGAGTCTGATGTTGGAAGTCTCTATCATCACTTCCCCTTCAGTTCACTGATCTTTTCAATAGAATCTCAGCATCAGGGTGAATGTTTACATCTGGCTATGTAATTGAACTCTTCACAAGGTATAATCTACTTCAGGACTAGTCCTGCTGTGAGGAATTAAGATCCGCCATCCACATGACTTCGTTTAAGCATTACATTCTGCAAGGCCTTAGACTTGTGGCCAGCTGAGAAAAGCTGGCTGAACTATCACCACTCTGTCTAGGCTTTGGGCCCCTGGATTTCCTCTTCACTCCCTGGAAGCACGTGTATCTGTGCATGAAGTGTGTGTGTAAGGATAGAGGTGTATGCACAGGAGAAGGGGGAAGCTGTGTTCTCCAGCCACTCCAGACCTGAACAAATGGAGTTTTGCAGTAACTGATTTGAGGGAAAGTAAACATACAAACCCAAGCAATTAAAGGGAAGATGATCTTACTTAATACCAGGGATAGAAGTTTTTCTTTCTGCCTCTCAAGTCCAAAGAGGAAAATCAGGACAAGTGACTTGTAAACTTTAGGGTCAAGGACCCTTTCTGTTGAGCTTGGCTCTCAAGTTCTCAGTAGTCAACTGCGCGTGAAACATAATTAATAGCAAGATAAATATAAGTTGTGGAAGATGCAATTGAAAGTCAGAGCCACTTCCATGGGCCCCCTACAAAAAGCCTATCATAAACAAGACTTAATCAACATTAACAGGGCTATTAAACAGTGTCACCTATTAAAAGCATGCTCTTCTCTAGAGCCTCTTACTGGAGTTTCTCTGTGTGGGTGTGTTCGTAAGGGAGTGGGTGAGCAAGAGCATACGGGGTACAATTTGTGTATTTACAAGAAAAAACAGAAGATCTGAATGAGGAAGAACATATGTTTCTGGGACTGCATCTGTGCAAAAAGTACATAGCCCCTGAAGTTGTACAAAAAAAAAAAAAAACCTTTTAAAAAAGTTTTATTTCACACATATCTTCTTGGCACATTTCCCTCCTACTGTCCTTTCTGCCTGACCTTTCTCACCCTCAGGTCCAGGAAAACCATGAAATGTTGAACAGTCTGACAGAGGCTGCCTAACCGGATAAACCGCTCACTCGGGGATCCCACAAGCAAATCTTAGCCCAGGATCAGGAGTGACTCTCCAGGGCGCACCTGCCTAGAGGGCGGCTGCTTCTGCAATTAAGCGGAAATCACATCCTCTGCCAAGGCTGCGCGGACGCGGAGCACTGCAACCCGAGCCGGGCGCGGCCCCCGCCGGCGGTATCCGAGGTGACTCGCTGGGTTTGCGCGGCCCCGGGCGGACCGCGCCTCTCAGCGGTCTTCCCCGCGGGACGTAACTCGCCAGGTGTCTGCGCGCGGCCGGCCCCGCCCCCGCTCCCGGGCCGAGTGCGCGTGCCTGGCCGGAGACGCGCCCCCTGCCCGGGGAAGGTGGGGGGTGGGGGGAAAGCTGGGCCTCTGCTCCCGAGGCCGCGCTCCCCCCCCGGCTCTGGCCTCAAACCAGGCGTGGGGGCGGGGCCGGAGGCGGGGCCGGGACGGCGGGGCGGGGCTGGCGCCAGTGCCGCGGGCTCTGCTGCAGTTTCGTCCGCAGGTCTCGCGGCAGGCGAGCGCCTTCGTCGCCCCCTCCGGCCCCATGGCAGCCCTCGGCTCCCCTGCTGAGTGCGGCTACATCCGGACAGTCCTGGGCCAGCAGATCCTGGGGCAGCTGGACAGTTCCAGCCTGGCTCTGCCCTCCGAGGCCAAGCTGAAGCTGGCGGGGAGCAGCAGCCGCAGCGGCCAGGCGGCCAAGAGCCTGCGGATTCAGGAGCAGGTGCAGCAGACCCTGGCCCGGAAGAGCCGCAGCTTGGTGGGCAACGGTGAGTGGAGCCCAGCCGCCCGCACCGCCCGCATCGCCCGCATCCCACCCCTTATGCCTTCCCCTCCCTCATTCTCAGCGCCCTGTTGCTTCGACTCGCTGCTTCCTGAGGGTGCGGGACCTGGTGTTCTGCCCACCTGTTGCTCGCGGGCCCTTTGTACGACCCGCCGCGCCTCCAGACTCAGACCGACTTACTTGGGGAAAGCACTCTCCTAAAATAACCTCTTTCTCAGCTTCTTCGTATATGCATCTACATATATTAAATGCACATATATATATCTGTGTGAAAGAATTCAATTTTCACCCCTTCCTTAACACCCTCCCCACCACCCCCACCACCAATATCGTGGACCTTAATCTGGAGGCTCTGGGAGTCTATAAACACTTTGAGATTCTATGCAGAAAATTGGTATGATCATTTTTTCTGGAGGAAAATGCTCCTAGCTTTTATTAGATTTAAGTCTATGACCTTTCCATACATTTTTTGAAAGAGAAAACCTGAAAGTACTGGCCCTCCCTTTTACAACCTGTAAATTGCGATTGAGGTGCTTCGCCCAGGTATTTCGGGGCGCTCCACCCTGTGTACGGAGCGAATGGTTGATCGAGGAAGTGAAAATATTTGAGTAGGAGGTTTTGGGCCAGGGAACAACCACACCAGCCCGCGGAGGAGGTGGAGGAAGGGGACTTTGGCCCGACCCTCAGCAGCCTCGCCCACCTTGCTAAGGCGAGCGGACGTCCTCTTGGGCATAGCCCTGGTCTCCAAAAAAATTAAACTTGGAAGTGAAAGGGGATCAAAAAACGACAATAACACTATATTAGTAATCGATAGGGGAGGTGGAAGGGAAGGTGGCAAACCAGCTGTGAAAATTAGAGAACGTGCTGTATCATTTTCTCCCCTGCTAAAAGTCAGATAATCAGAGCCACACAGTAACTCTTTTATTAGTTATTTATTTTCTTTATTATAAAAGCATTGTAGGCTTATTACAGAAAAGAGAAGAGGAAACTAATTGAACGATTAAGTTGGGATATCCGTTTGTTTCCTGCATTGTTGAACTGTTTCTTCAGGACATAACTTGGGCAATGGCAAATGTAGAACCCATTAGGAAAAAAGAAAAATGCTTGCAGACCAGAACAAAGATTTAAAACAGCAGATCCTGGGAGGCTATATTGTTTTCAGTTTGTGTGAAAGAATTCTAAAGGATCAGGCAGTCAATATTTATATACTTGAAAGGTAAAGAGAAGATATTTAATGATTGTAGTTAATGCAGTTCCCTACTGTGTGCCAGGAATTGAACTATGTGGTTTGCATTCATTGTATTGTTATATTTAAAAACAAAACAAAACAAAACTTTTGTCCTAGGTGTTTTAATCCCCATTTTACAAATGAGGAAACTAAGGAGTTAAGTAACACTCAAATTCCCACCGACAGTAAGTAGCGGAATTGGTACTGAAACCACCAAGCCTGAATTTTTAAACCACTCATCAGTTATATTGTTAAGCTTTTTGGTTATTAATACACAATGGGATTTTTATTAGACCCTGGGGCCTCCCTGGTCTCCTCTCATTTTCCTCTAAATAAAATTGAGGTAGTTCTGAGAGTAGGGAGGTCTAGACAACACTGAACTGCCACTGTACATGGAGAAAAAGAACCTAAATTTACATTTGAGAGTGTGACAACTGAGGCCAATTTTTGATCAGTGGTGTCATTGCACCCTGTTTGTGCAGATCCAGTGTTAAGCTGAAACCAAACTAGGGTGTTCTGCTTGGGGGACACAGGAGATGCACCTTAAATGTTATTTCTTACCCTCTGAAAATGGCTAACCAGAAGAGCAATTAGACAGCCACTATTCAATAAATGGGGAAAATCAACAAAAGGAAAGGGAGCATTGCTGAGCATCTACTGTGTGCCTAACCCTGTTCTAAAATCATATGTTTGCATTTCATTAAATCTTTAAAACAATTGCATAAGATGGATATGGAGCTCCATTTCACATATAAAGAATGCATCAGTCTTTCAACATTTATTGGTTTCTTTGCCCCAAACCCACACGTGATCTGTCCTCCTTACAACATAGTGAATTCATGAACTTGCTTGGTGAATTCAAGAACTATGAATTCAAGAACTATGAAATGATTCTGTTCTTCATGCAGGGCACTGTGCAGGTGCTGAATTAAAACAAAGACTGTGCTTGCTTTCAGGCAAGAAGTTTAAAGTCTGTAGAAGGAAACCTCCCTCTAAAAAAATGTGTTACCACATAAAAAATAGTAAGCAACCCAAAAAAAGAACAGCTAACACATTACGGAGTTTGGAAGTACGAGTTAGACTACTAGCTGAAGGGAGTTTTGAAAAGCTTCTTAGAGGAATTGGGATTTTAGATCTCAAAAATTCAGTAGCACTGGACAGGGGTCTGTGGTTGGAGGAAGAGCATTCTCGGGGAGAGAGCAGTGGGGGTATTCCATAGTTCACAGAATTGATGTGGTAGGAACAAATCATGTTGGGGTGCTTCTGCTCTAATGCTTAGGGCAACTACTTGAGTGGTTCTGCCTACTAAGAAACAAAGTGTTTGAAATATTTTGATTACAACAGCAGCTTCCCTGCAAGCTGAAATACGCTCAGCAGCCTCTCAGGCAGGCCGAGAGATAAGGCAGCTAACAACACCTACTTACTCTAAAGCCTCAGCTTTCTGAGACTTAAAAAGGAAATCGGCTTCAAAGGAATTTAACATTAACATGCCATGGAACAATTACCGAGGGTGGTTCGTGTATGTTAATTAAAGTTCTTTGAAAAGGCTTGGGGGCTTGTGATAGTTGTGAGTATTGTTTTTATTATTTCCCTATTACTATCATGTCTCTAAAGTTGAAACAGACAAGCAATTGTTACAATAGGGTTGGTCTGGAAAGAATCCTGTATCAACACAAGTCTGGGAAGAAAGGACCCCGGTGTTAACTGCTGTTAGTTCCAGAGCCCTGGAGAATTCTGAATTGTTGACATACCTGCAAGCTTGGGGCAGCAGATAATCTGCTGAAAACAGAGATGTGATAAATGAGGTTGATTTGTTGATAAATACCCTGCAAGGGTCTTGAATGCTTCAGTGTATAGGTGGGTGGTTTTCATTGTAAATCATTCTAACCTTTGTTGCTGTTTTAAACTGTGCTGAACAGTTTAAAGTTCACTGTAACTCTTGGAAGGTGCGTGTGTGAGGGGGGTGGGTTAGAGGGACAGGGGGTCAGAGGTGTGTAGCAGCATTGTGAAATGAGTGAGTGTATTGTAGGGAGTTTTAAAAAATCACTTTATAAACATCACAGAGAAGACGTTTAAGAACTGCAGGTATTAGCAAATGAAAAAATTTAAAGTGTCCACATCCTATTTATTACACTTACTTTGAAAGTACTACTGTACTTATTACACAGTTCCCCCAGGTGCTTGAATGGGAAGAAAGTCCTGTTTTAAATTGTTATAGGTAATACCTGTAAAACACAGTGAACAATATCCTAATAAAATTTGCAACTTCTTTGGATATCCACCAAAAAACTTGAAGCATGTCATTTACTTAGTTTCCCTGGCCGAGATGTTTTGATTATCTGTGATCAGAGGAAATTCTGGAGAAAGGACTGAAAACTGGTTAAGGAAACAAAAAAAGGTTATTATTAATAGGTGTTATTGGGGAGAGTGGGGGAGAGGGTGTTCAAATCCTGATGCATTATTTGTTTGCCAAAAAGGAATTCCAGGAATGAAGCAATTCTGGGAGCGAGGGGGCTGGTCCTTCAGAAAGTGGGAGGGATCAGGAGAGGGGAAAAAAAAAGTCCGATGGTGGGGTGGCAGAGACATGCCCAGGCTGTTCCGCATGTGATATGTCAGTAGTGGAACCTGATTTAATGTACCTCTGTGTGTGCCTAGTATTGCCCAGGGGCTACTTTTGTCTGGTGTCTAGCAGATCGATTGCAGTGAGTACAGAAAAAGTGTGTGGGGGGTTTTAGTTTAGTTTTGTGGGTTTTTTTAAAAAAGATTTTATTTATTTATTTGCAAGAGAGAGAGCGTGAGCACGCACAAGCTGGGGGAGCAGCAGAGGGAAAGGGAAAAGCAGGCTCCCCGCTGAGCAGGGAGCCCCATCCATCCCAGGACCCTGGGATCATGACCTGAGCCTAAGGCAGACTTTTAACCAACTGAGCCACCCAGGCACCCCTTGTTTTGTTTTTTAGAAATTCTTCTGATGATAGTTAATAAAAGGAAATAGAATGTTAGCAAAATACGATTACAAAAACTATATTCCACACCCTTAGAAATAGTGAGAACACATTCTTTATGGATAAGGTCTTGAATGAGAGTGTGCTAGGGATCTTTCAGAATTAGTGGAACTATAACAATGTTTGATTTCGATTATAAAAATTCATTGCTCTGTGTGTCATAGATAAAATGCAGGACATTCCCTTCAAGAGAAGACTGTTATTAAGGTTTTTTAAAAACCTCCTTTAATGTTATCTATGCCCTGTGCTAGTAGTTCCAATGATGGAAACAGAGGGGAGTTCACTTGACTCAGATATTCGAGGTATTTGTTGCTCACATTGGCTCATTTTTCTAAAGTGCTGTTTTGGTTATCGGCTCTAAAACTTTTTTCTCATGTATTAAAATAAGGATATACGTATTTGCATTATTTTATCTTCAGATATAGTTAACATTGATTTTACAGTAAAACTGAGGTTCTGGCCTGATCAATAAAAGCTTTTATTTTTTCTTTTCTAAGAGAATAAGCATATTATTGGCAACCTATCTATGATAGTAATGAAATATAATAACAAATATGTTGCTAGAACCTCTGGAATTTATAAACCAAACTTGACTAGTGAGTCCCATAAAAGATCATTTTGTTCCATCTCAGGTGATATTCAAGAATTTAAAATTATACAATTCTGAGATAAATGCTGGACTCCAGCTATTTTGTGCATGTACAAAAATGTATGAAGACATAAATACCATATTTCTCCTGGGGAAGTAAACAGTAG